CAACTTTTGCAAGGGCCTGAAATGGCCCAAAATTTATTATCTCCAGCTCCTCTGTGCTTTGGAAGGCACGTTAAACCTTTGGTCTCATTTGCAGTCGTTAAATCCAGCAATGGAGTACATTAGGAACAAAAAAAGAACGCACTCATGATTTCAATCCAGCCTGGGGGCATAGATGGGATCTACGGTTCTCCAGAAGGAGCCTATCCACCTCACTTTGAATTTTTGTGGATTATATGTTCTCAGAAATGTATGCGCTGGTATAATTCCTCTATTTGATAGTGCGCAGAATAGCAGAAAATGGGTAGCGCTTGGTTTTTTTGTGATATTCACCATTGAGTAGGAAGTTAATGAGAAAGGTTATCTCATTAAGTTCTTACTCATCTGTCGTGTGTCTAGATTGCTGATGTTTAAAAGGTGAGAGTGGAATGAGCTTATATTACCATTGAGTGCACTCCCCGTAGTACAGTCTGTAAGAAATAGACAGAGGTCATCAAATACAAGCCAATGGGTTAGGCTGTGAAGCTTTATTTTACAAGATTGTTGTCGCTAATGAGTGTCATAGTTCATCATTGTACAGAGTCTAATATGGCAAGTTGATATTTGGCTGAACCATCCCACAGGTGGCAGCAGTACCCCATATGTGAAGTGTTAAAAGCTGTCCCGGTATGAAGTACCGCTCTGATCCTGTATAAGAAAAATTCCCACTTTTTTGGCCACTGAAAGTAAATTAAGTCTGTCCGCTACAGGAACAGATGCACCACGTAGTAGGAAACAAGAATTAGCTCTTGATAGTCTGATTTCTCCGGTAGCTGTTGCGCTGGTCAGATATTTTTTCATATGCATACCTAATAATGCCTGAGATGGGCACCATAATTAATGTCTTTCTTCTAATTAAATCATATTCGTAGGACAGGCCTGTGCCCCCGCAGTAGCTTCTATTAGGCTGGTGATGATATGGTGTAATCGAGGATAATCAAATTTGTTTAATTTTACTTTTAATCAAATAATTATATTTTATTATATTTTGATTCTAGATCTTGAAATCAAGGATATGAGACCCGTTCGTGATCTTAAAAAGCTGATGTGCATGGAACCAGTACAGGTGCAGCTTACTACCTCGTTACTTCTGGATATGACACTGGTACCTGCTGCTGTATCTTTAGTCGTATCCTACGTTATTGTCTTATTACAATTTAAAAATACGATATAAGTAAATGAAATACATTAATAAATACAGGAACATATTTTAATTTAGGATTGGTGTATATATATATCAAAGGCTAACAAAGCACTAGGTTTTATATGCAGAATGACAAGGCCGTTTAGAAGAGCGGATAGTATTATTACATCATTTACGTCTTTAGTTAGGAGCATTCATGAGTATTGTTCTATAGTTTGGAGTCCGTACTACCACGTTCATACTGATAGGATTGAATCCATTCAGAGGCGCTTTTTGCGCTTTCTAAGTGCGAAATTTGGATTAAGACGTAATCTATCTACCTACGAGGCACGCTTGAATAATTTTTCTTTAAAATCACTTAGTCAAAGACGTAAGATGGCCGAATATTGTACTTTGTATAAAATTGCCAACGCCAAATGAGACGCAAGTGAGTTGTTGGGTCATTTTTAGTGGGAATTTTTAGTGCTCGAACGCAGAAGCTATTTTCTTTACCTATAAGTAACAACATTGTAACTTTTAATGATCCAGTTTTTCGTATGTGTAGAGCTTACAATAATATTAGTAAAGACTTGGACGTTTTTTTCCAAAGCTTACCCATTTTATTGCGCACGTGTGATCTTAAAATAAATTCATAATAATTGCCTGTGTTGTCTAATGTAAGTTGTATTCTTGAAGTGTTGTGCGTAGCTATAATCGGGGGATAAACTTAGTGCTATACTATAACATTTTGTATTATTGTATTGTATGGTTTGTTTTCTGTAGCGGTGCCTTTTATAAAAAAAATATAAAAAAATCTGGCGATCCGACAAGAGGCACACGAAAGTTAAAGATCTTCCGTTGAGTGAGTAACGTTGAATGTCATATCATATATATGTCAGTTTTTACAATCTTCGATTGACAATAGGCGACACATCTTCCGTTAGATATGTACCGACCGTTAAAGGGGAAGTTATGATTTCAGTAATTTTGACTGTCAAGAGATGAGAGTAATGAATTAATGTTATGATTTTGTTTAAATAAAAATCTGTTCATGTTCAGTTTTTATAATATTTTAAAAATTTTAATTTCGAATACTTGAGTTGGGATTCGAACCCCTAACAGGCTAATGCACTGTGACGTGGTTAGCTCAGATACACACGTGACCTTAGATCACAGTAGACCGATATAGTATTTAATTACCTATCTTTAAATATAAATTGATATAAAAGTATAAAGCTGACCCTTTTCATTAATTTCCTGTTCTAAAAATGACCTTCACGTTAAATTACCCAGTCTAAAGAAATGAAGCTACATGAGAAAATAACATCACAATACATTAATCTAATTTTCATAACAGTAAAAGGCTTTGCATGAGCCTTTCTAGGAGGATGATTAATGATTTTTATTCTTCAATTTTTTATAAAACTAAATAACTTTCAATACATTTCAATTTAATGTTATTATTTTAATTTTGATAATTTATTGTTAATATTTATTCAATTACAAGATAAGGGCCGCGGCCCGCGATCACTATTGTTAAGCGACTTTTGCAAGGGTCGGTCATGGGATGGGTTACCGAAAATTATCTCGAGCTATTTTAAACCGTTGGTCTCGGCTGCATAGCCGTTAATTGCATAGCCGTTAATTGGAGGGTCCAATCTGCATTGGGCTAACGTGGTGGGTTATGGCCCTCCTTATTAACTATCCTTAAGAAAGGCCTGAGCCTCTACAGTGTGGAAGTATAAGGGCTGATGATGACTCGTAAGCTCTTATATGGAATGGAATTGAAGATGGAATGGAGAAGTTTATAGACTATACTGAATCGTTTAATGATATGTTATATAAATACGAGTATAAACAGTCTGAGAATATCTGACTGGAGATGCATCACGTCTCGTTGGTCGCGGAAAGTTAGAACTGACACATATATGACATGACCCACTTGCAAACTTGCACACTCGATGAATACCGTCGCATCTTTGGTCAAATTTGCACCGAATTATAGATTTAACCATTTCAAAATCCAATCTCTTTCCAAGACTTCTATTATACTACTAGACAAGGTTACAAAAAAAATGCTCACTAACCTTGTGCAATTTGCACAGCCGCCATTTTGACCTACATTAGCAAGACTACAGTACACTTTTCCGATGATAAACTACATAATCTTGTTCATTATCTGAAACTTGCCACCGATCTGATCGCATGGAGTAATACATTTAGCGAGAAACTTACCTTGGGAACGAGTTAAAACTTGCACTTAGACCCTCTCCTCTTCATAGACATGTTGGGGCCTAACTAAACGCTTAAGGTGTTAAGAAACAAAAATACTGCATGTTGTTGTTTGACTATCAGAAGATAAATATCAGAATTATTGCTAAAAACGGGATTGCTACAATGTACCTTGTTATTATTGAGTTCCCGATGTTTAGTCGTTATTGCAAACGCCATGAGTAATACAGTAAATCCGTGAAAAATCATTCATTCTATTAATGTTAATGACCAAGTAAGTTTAAAGTAGAAACATATAGTCAACTGCAAGCTTGCAAGCAAGCTGCAACTTCGGAAACGAAGCTTGCAGTTGACTATATAGTTATTATTATCTATTAATAAATTAAACATAATTAAATTACATACTTAAAATACAGCAAAAGAAGATAGATTATTAAATTATATTTAGCACAAACTTATTATACTATTACAACTACAAAATATCAATATCTACTAATATACAACATACACCATACAATCGACAGCAACTTAATTACTAAGTACATAATATTATCTAAATATCAAATCATTTCTATCAACATGACAACATAAATTAAAATTAAGGACCGTTAGCAAAGTCGAGGAGCTCGATGGCGCAGTGGCTAGTGCGCTACAGTTATTAAGCGACCTTCACAATGGCCGGTAATAGGATGGGTAACCAAAAATTTATTACCTCGAACTCCTCCGTAATTCTGATGACACGTGAAACCGTTGATTCCTGCTGCGTCTGTAGTCGTTAATACCTACTAATTCGCACTGGACCTGCTTTGTGTTCAATTCGATTCCATCGATAAGAATCGATAGGCTTGATCCCCAGTAGTGGGGATATTAACAGGTTGGTGATGATGATGGTGATTAGCTTAACTGGGTAAGTAAGCACTGGGACTGATAGAAATAGTTTGCTTATATTGTTTTTTACAGAAATCTATACCCGTATTATCATTTTGTTTTTTTTTCACTTAATCTTTGGTAACCCATATAAAAAAAAATTCCTCGATCAATATTTCATTTTAAAAATAATCTACTAAGTTCTCTCATACCGATTAAAATTTCTGAGAATTTTACAATATTATAACACAATCGAATTGCAATCAGTTGATTTGGTATTTTGTGTCGGGTTATTATTCATGTGTGAAATACACAATTGAATTTAATTTAAAAGATATTATCTCTAAATATATATTTTTATGAGATATTTACCTTGTCTTTTTATTGAACCATCAATTTACTTATAATTGGAATAGACTTCTAATACAGTAAAAATTAAATTTAAAAATAACAGTTATTAATTAAACAAGATAATTAATTCACAGAACAGAACTAAGAATTAAAAAATAAAATAATTTCACTTGTCCGGAAATGGATGTTGTGTTGGCTTAATAAAAAAAGACTTGTTTGACTAGTCTAGTAGTTATCTTAGGTGCATTATTGTTCGAGACGCGGTGGCGTGAAAACGTGTATCCAGAGCAGTGTGAGAGTGTGGTTGAATCTAGAAGTTTTTTTACACAATTTTCAGTTAATAGTGGCAAATGTACTTGGTATGCACTCCGAACGTTTTTTTACATATTTTTTAGATAACTTTTTTCAACTGCAACAAGACGATGATGTAGGTAACAACCATTGATACTGCGGCTGGTATCAGCGACATCTTCAGAGGCATGGTCATCAGTTGTGCTTGAAGTGGTTCCAAGTGCACCATACGCACCAGGTCATGTATTGCTTTATTTTCTGTGATATCAGGATCTGGAAAAATCATTTTAAATTCATTACCTATGCATGATACAAAAACTCAGTTTTTCTATAAAATTTAACTACCGCACCATGCATCTTAGATATATTAATTTGAATGGTGTATCATCATCAGCCCTGTTACGTCCCCACTGTAGGGGTTCAGGCCTTCCTTGTGGATGGTTAAGGAAGATGGGCTATAACCGTTTGCCCAATGCGTATTGGAGGGTATTAATGCAAATGCAGTTGAGATCAAGAGCTTAACGTGCCTTCCGAAGCATGGAGTCGCTAAGGATAATAAAATTTTTGTTCACCCATCCTATGACCGACCATTGCGAAAGTTGCTTACAGTAACTTTCGCGGACCATTGCCCTTATCCAATACGCCACCGAACTACTTTAAAACTTTTAGCATTCAAATGTTTACTTAAGAAAAACCCATTTTAAAATTGTATTTTGCCTTTTCTTAGTGTGGCAATTTTGAGGCAAGGCAGGTGTTGGTGTGTTTTTAGTATTTGTTGTTGTAGCGGTAACAGGACTACATCATTTGTGAAAATCACAACTGATTAATTATCATGGTTCATGAAAAACGGCCTGGTAACAGCAAAAAATCACGTTTGTTGTTGTTCCCCTTAAATATCTATTTTAATCTATTGTTGTTGAAGAGGCAACAGACATCTGTAAAAAATTGAGCTGTCTCATTTTCATGGTTTATGAGATACAGCCTGGACAGACGTACAGACAGCAAAGTCTTAGTAATAGGGTTGTCGTTTTACCCTTTGGGCCGTACCCAACCCTAAAAATTTAAGATGCTGCCAAAAGTTACCACTTTACGCGGACGAAGTCGTGTGACAAGCTAGTAATTTAATAAATTTGAATTTTTGAAAAAGATCATGTTATATGTAAATATTGAGGTATATGGAAAATCAAAAATTGTAATTTATTTTTGTTTTAATGACGCGATAATAAACCGGAAAGACATTTTTTTAAACATAACCAAAAGTAATAATAAAGTGCATGATATTACTCATATTTATTGTTAATGAAATTATGTTTACTTATTGTAAAAACCATAACAGCATTCGCTATTTTATTAAACCATAACAAGTCACAACAAAACTTTACAATAATAACCGAAAACAACAAAAACATAACAAAAATTGTATGCGATTCAAACACAAACCAATTCAATAAGAGTACTCGTCAACTAGTGTTTATTCGCTGACGGTACTGGGGGCCAATTGTACTAACTTACAACGATCGATCATACGGAGAATACCGTTGACAGTTTCTATCGATCGATGGTTAGCTAAATAAAATAGTAGAACCACTAAAAATTGTAGTTTCGTTCGGTTTCGTTTCGTTTTCGATTCGATTTAATCAAAATTTATTTAGTAGAATTTGGCCCCTGAGTTTGAACGCAATTACGTCACCAAAATGGCAGCCAGGCGCATGAGTAATTTGCGAGGATTATACCTATAATTTTTTTACTTACTATATTAAATGTCAACGTTTTTAAAGTATTTGATTTGATCACACAAACACTTAATTTTAGGGCTTCAAAGGAATCTATTTATCGAGAATATATTTAGGAATATTACTCTTATTAATATTAAAATTGACATAAGCATTATAATAATGATCACGAGTTGGGATACCAAAATTGCTTACCAAAATTTAAGACGGCGCCCGATTCCCGTCTTATGTGTAATGGTTGAATTTTAAAGTGTACTTATATATAATATAGTATCTTAATAAAAACATATAAAATATGTCTGTAATACAATGACATCCAGGAACTTCCACGCCTAGACAATATCTGCAAGCCCCGCTGGGCACCACCCGTAAAGAAATTCACATTTCGAATGGCAACAAACTTCGCAAAAACTCTACACACATCACGGGGATGCTCCGTGGCGGAGCGAAGGAAATGCCTGATTCTATCAAATATAAAATATATACTTACAAGTGATTAAAACAGTTTGTAATTTTGCCAGTGATGTTTTTAATGTTGTCCATGAATTTTGCAAGTTTTGACCAGCTCGTACAGATGTCATTAACATAAGGCAATATAAGGTCGCATCCATTGTATATATTACTGTGGTGGCAGCGCCAACCGCTTCCAGTTCCTGAAATATCATCTTGCATAAGAATATATATACCTGTATTTAGGATACCGTAGAAAAGTTTTATATAGTTACGACACATAACAGATTCCAATCAATTACATTCCAAATATTGGTAACAAGTTAAATGATACAGATCATAACCCAACAACATACGTGTATTGTGATAACCATTAAAATTTTATTCTGAATCTGAATTATTATTAAAATTGACAAATTAAATGAGATTTTATGATCTTAAATTAAATTATTATGTAAATTAATAAATACATTACACACTATATGATTTGATTAATAAATTAATTTTCTCTTACAAGTAAATATATAAATATCAAGAGTAGCTCGGTGGCGTAGTGAATAAGGGCCGCGACCAAATATCGTTCTTGTTAAGAAACTATCGCAAGGGTCGGTCACGGGATCGGTGACTAAAAAAAATTATCTCGAGCTACTCCGTGCTAAACGTGCCTTCCGAAAGGCACCTTTAGCTGTTGGACCCGGTTGCATTTGTAGTCGTCTATACTCTCTAATCTGCATTGAGCCAGCGTGGAGGGTAATGGGCCATCCTCCTTAACCATCCATAAGGAAGGCCTGACAACCGTGTAGTGGGGACATAAAAGGGCTGATGATGATAATATCAAATGCTGAAGACGCATGGACGGATTCTCCATCTTTCTCTCCATACTCTTGTATGTACTGTAATTTTTATTTTCAATATTTTTTGTGTAACACACGGTCCTAAAATCCATTAGAACTCGGTTTCTATTTATTTCTTCGCTAAACTTCGGGAGTAAAACTACTTCGAGTCCATTGTAACAATCACTTTACTGAGCTAAAAACAGGGGATATTTGCTCTTTGTTTCTACTTCAAGATTAATAACAGTACGAGTATATGGAATCTCTTTATTTAATATTTTTTATTTTATTTTAAATACCGTTATAATTTATCATTTAGAAAAAAATTAAACGTTATTTGTAACGGTATGCCGTCAGGGCTAGTCCAAAGAGTATATAATATACTCTTTGGATAAATATAGTTATAAAACTATAGTTTGTGAATTTGTGATAATATTTATAACTTATTTACTTTAGATTTTTATACAAAAAGTAAAAATCGTAACAAAGAGCACCTTTTAAAGTATTTTGCCGACTGGGGGTGCCGATGCAGAATATCCTAGGATTATATTCACTTCTTTCATTGCACTTTTTTTTAGATCAGTAATGATGTACTGTCAAAATGATTAACAGCACATTTATGTTTAGAATGAATGTTGAAACTATTATATTTGATCAATTTTACATTCATAATGCTATACCGGAAAATATTCTTAACGAAAAATGTTGTTATTCTGAGATGGGATCAGAGCACCAGGTGGGACAAAGTGGATTATTTAAGCATTTTGCATTAAGAATATGAATGTTAAAAATTATTATTAAATAAAGTAAGAATGAAGGCGTGTAGTTATTTTGTTATTTACCTCTTTTATTAATGTTTCCACAAAAAATCTCACGGCAAAAATATAAAATGCTACAGATGATATCACACATGACAAAATCTGAAACAATAAATGACTTTGTTATTCTTTTTAAATAGTAATAAACATTGTAATCGGGCAGTTATCATTTTATAAGCTACAGAAAACCTCAGCGCGTCTAGAATATTTCTTGAAAAATTTAACCGCTTTTAAGGTAAGTATTATACACATTTTTAAAGTTTGACTGAAGACGGTTATATTTTTTTGAATTTTTTTTTTATGTTATGATATTAATGATTTAAATTTACCTGTAGATTGAAACACGAGTTCAGGATCTTACAGCAACCAATCAACATTTGATAGTGGACAGTCCACTGCTGAATCACATTTTCTAGAGAATTTGAAATCGCTTTGTGTGCTGATACTTCGTTATCAATATCTTCAAATGATTGGAGTCGTCTTTTACACATAACTGTCTTTACAACATCACGAATATTCAAATTTATAGACAGTATAGAATAACTTATACTAGATATAAGCAGTACGTATCTGTAGAATTCCTCATAATATCTTAGTTCAAATATGATTACACAGATTTTATATAAAATTTTAACAACTCCGTTTGATATATAGACATTATTTTCTATCAATAAAAATATCATTGCCAGTATTGTCGCTGAGAAAAAGAAAATAGTATAACATTTTGTATCTTTCTCGAACGTACTGTTATTGATGTTTTTATAATAATCATGTACTAAGTCCAAATTCTTGCTCAGTAAAATGAAATCATTGCTCGTTTTCGCTGCTAATAATAAAATAATAACCATATTTAAAAAGCCGAAATTCGCATTCATCACTGACGTTAGCGATTGTGACGATATCATTAAAACACTATAGTAAAATATGACCAATAACAGATCAAATATTAATCTGATAAAAATCAATATTTTCTTTTTTCTGTTGAATGTACAGTAATTCCTGTATATACCTAACAGGTTTTCTAAGTATAGAAGCGTATTTAATTTCATAGTAGCGGCACTCAAGAGGAACTTTTTAGACGTTATGAAAGTTATGACCACTAAGATTACATATCTTACTTACTTAAGCAAATTAGTATGAAAATGTAATTGGTAGTGGATAAAAAATTAAGTTGAGTACGACATTATTCCTTTTTGACTTGTAAAAATTGTGAGGGGGTGATCATAATCATGAGTATTGATGGGAGGGTGTACGTTCATTATACTTAGTCTGGCCATAAATAATGTTAGAATTAAAAATAAACAAAATTTTACTTTTGAAATTCGAATCTGTCATTTTTCTCGAATCGTTCGTTGACTTTTCTTATTTTAATCATCATCATCAGCCCTTTTACGTCCCCACTGCAAGGGCTCAGGCCTTCCTTATGGATGGTTAAGGAGGATGGGCCATGACCCTCCACGCTGGCCCAATGCGGATTGGAGGGTATTAACGACTACAAATGCAGCCTGGACCAACGGCCGGGACCAACGACCAACGTGCCTTCCGAAGCACGGAGTAGCTCGAGATAATAATTTTTTGGTCACCCATCCCGTGACCGACCTTTGCGCAAGTTGCTTAACGCCAACGATCGCGGGCAGCGGCGCTTATCCACTATGCTACCGAGCTACTCTGCCTTATTTTAATATCACAACATATTTTACAACACATTATAAAAAATATGTTGTGATATTAAAATGGAGTGGGGCCATGATAAGATTCTCGTTATGCATCGCTGTGATCACATTACATAAAGTAGGTATGAAGCCAAACATAATTTCTCCGTACGTTTGATATAAGGAAAATGTTTGTGTACCGGGCTATTGATAGATACATTGAAACCTCTACTGTTTGTGACAGAAAAAGATCTGGTCGTCCACGTAATATTCGTACGAAAAAGGCGGTCAAAGCAGTAAGGGAAAGAATTCGGAGAAACCATGTCCGAAAGCAAAGGATAGTATCTTGGGAGATGAAGATAGCACCTAGAAACATGTCACGTATTTTAAAAGATGATTTAATACTTACAGCCTACTAAAGAGTTACTGGTCACTTTTTAACAGATAATTTAAAAAATAATAGGGTGATACAATCAAAATGATTATTTAAGCGGTACGCAAAAGGGCACAGAAACATTTTGTTTAGAGATGAGATATCGTTTACAATGGACCAATATTTTAAGAAAATGATCGCATTTATGCTCACAGCTCTAAAGAAGCTTACTACTGTTACTTCACAACACTATTGGATCGTCCAGATAAACTAACACACTATAATGGTAATAAATGTTACTTTCAATAAAAAAAAGAAGATTTTCTACGTAACAATACTTATGGCAAGACTATGTACTTATAATGATGATTAAAAACTGCAATCAATATGATAACACAACAACACGACCATTAACCATAAAACTATAATTCTCTATTTTAATCATCATAGCATTGTGACCAAGAAGTGAATCGGTATAAAAGAAGTGTCTATTAAAATGAGTCAATCTTATAGACATCTCTCAAAACTTGTGCAATACATCGTGACTCTAACGGAAACCAAAGTCTTAATCTACATGGAAAATATTGTTGGCATTTATCGAAACTTTTGCAAATTTAACAAGTCACAAAAAATATTATCAATTATAAGAGTATTTATTGAAATACTTTTTTCATTATACATGACACGGAATAGCGTAATTACGCTTTACACAACCAATAAAACTAATCTATTTGAGGTCGCAATACGAGTGGCGGTAGCTGTATATATTATCTACATATCAGTGTACTCAATATGTAGCAGTCATAGTTTCATAATTATGATTGATAATTTTAACACTATGAATAGCAATTATAAATACTGTGAAGAAAACAGAAGTAATAAAATATTTCGAATATATTTTTTTACATTCTCATGTATAACTGCAACCATGAGTATATTACTTACAATAGGAAATCATGACAGTTTTGTTATTGGGGTTATTATAAAAATATTTTTTCTTTTATATGAGTTACGATTTTGTATAGAAGTGTATGCATATATTTTTTTGGCATCACGAATGACATTTTTAATAAAGTGTCTCATTTCGTCAATTAACAGTGTTTTGTGGACTGAATTGCCAAATAAAAAAATTGGACCCGAAGAGGATCTAGATGAAAACACGGTGGATATGTGTATTCGTCAACGCGATGTCGAAAATTGGGCAGACCATTGCATGGCTTTGATAAATTGCAGCAAAGAGTTTAATGGCTGTTTCTCTAGACAGGTATAATTATTTTATGACAAAAATTAGTATGTTGTACCTTGTTGCTAAAATAACAAATTAGTAAGTTTTTTTTAATTTACTCGAGGCTGAAATATAAAAGTGCAAGAAATCCAAGCAAGAAATCCATTATAGCACTGCTATATTCGTACTGAAATTTCCCCGTAGCAGGAACGCTATTCTTAAACTGCGTATGTTCTGCCTAAAGGTGACTTTGTTCTTTTTGTTTGTCTTTGTACTAATTATTTAAATCTAGCTTTTGAATCGATTGCTCTTCT